ATACCCCCACTTGCGGCATGGTGAGTATTAAAATGTTTCTCTATAAAAGTAATGATCAGATGAATTTGGTCTGTAAGCAATTTGGCCATTGTGTGGATGATGGCTTTGTATTATTTTTCTAACTAAATGCATCAAAACAAATTTTGCCCAACTGAGTGGTTTTGGGGTATAGATCATAAGGTGCAGCCTAACAGCTCAATTCTATACCATTTGGCAGTTAAATCACTTTGTTCATGCAGGCCTAGCCACACCACATCAGAATATACCAGAAACTAAAATAATTACCATTGCAGGGTTAAGGGCAGGCCCGGACTGGCCATTTATTATAAACTGCAATAATTACATGCTCAGGGTTAATGGTGTTGGGACACTGCACCCAGACCACTTCAATGAGATGTAGTGGTCTGGGTGCCTATAGTGTCCCTTTAAAGGGCAACAGAGCAACACATGAAAAAAACGATAAACACAAATTATAGTGATTTTAATGTTTTATTCAATGGTGTAATTTTCGTAAGAGTGATTGTTCCCCTTACAAAGTATCAGGACTGCTTTCCCAATGCGTATTGCATTAGAAAGAAATTACTCCTAATCCCAGTTTTACTAGACTGCAAGAGTTTGACTGGTCTTCCAGACTGTATACTTTGTTTCCACACCCATTATATAAACATTTCACATTTAGCTAGCAATGAATAACTGCCTTCACAGTAAATTTACATGTCAAAGCCTACAATAGAGACTCTTATCCGAACAGCCTGAGTACTAAATATAAATCAGAAACAATATAACAAAACATGTTTTATTCACTAAACTACACAAACAAATTGTAACCCCCCCACCCAAAATTAGCTATTTTCTCACTCTTAGTATCCTTGTTTCATTTAGCTGTTTTTTGGGTAGAATTTTTGAATTCTTCTGAATTTCTGTAGATTTTTCAGGAGACTTGAAGCTAACAATTAGGCAGTGTTAAAATTAGACCACTGGCTTTTCCAGAGACTACTTGAGGGTCCAGACCTTATCAGCCCCCTTAGAAATGCGTTGCCGTCTATAAAGTTAGTTCTTGGGTTAATTAGTGATTACATTATATGAAACTAGCCATTCTCTGGCTTATTACTGGAAGGCGCCCGAAGGGATGAGGAAGATCCTCGTGCTTTTCATAGGACAACCTATGTACGTCCAAATCAATTAAATTTAAACCCCCATCCGTGTGGACTAAACCTGTGCACTAATCCATTTCGAATGTGTCAAACTAATGCATCTTCGTACAATATAAGACTCCACAGGTAAATCCCGGAGAAACGATTTGTTAAAACGTAGACTCACAGTAATTTGATTTGTTCGACACAGCAGAAATGGCTTTCTGCACAAGTCTGATATGGACAATATCACCAGACTCCTACTGCATCCCACCAATGGGAGGTATGGACCTGGGGTGGCTGGGTAGGCAGCAGTGAGGGGCAGGCCACTGCCAAAACAAAGTGTATCAGTCTGCTGTGCGTGCATTGTCCCGTCTCACTGCTGTCCATGTGCAGATCACTCCTGAAGTCCTGAGACTAATCTGTGCAATGCTAGTGCTTCTATTAATGTGTTTGTATCACACTGATTGTGGACAGTTCAAGGATGTCATTAGTTTCTTACTGAAAGCACTATAACCACTTCAAATCACTTATGGTGCGTAAAGTAATTGGACCTTTCCTGTTATCTGCCTTCCACTATTTCTTCTATTTCCAGGGCGAGAATAATAAATGAGTGAAACTAAATATGTTGCTAACGCTAATTTTCTTTGGCATTTTAACCGTCTTAAATCCGTTGGCTACACCCAAGCATTTTTCTATCCCTAACCCTAGAAATAGTGGAGGACAGATAACAGGAAAGGTCCAAATAGTTCTTTAACAGGGGTCCTGATGATTCCAAGCTTTTTAAAAATTATTATTTATAAGAAATGTGGTGTTTTGTAGTTTTTACAGTAAAACCATGCATACAGGGATATTCACTAACGTGAGAATTCAAGATAAATTTCAAATTTAAGGTCAAAATAGGCGAAATGAAAAAATCCTCTAAGTCAGCGATGCTTTTAGTTTGGCTATTTTTTTTTTTTTTAATTCTTTATTTTTGTTGCGCAGGTGAGTACAAAAACAGTGACAAACGCCACAACAGCGTACACGTATAAATAAACAGGCTCAACAGTGGCATAGATAATTGCACATTTTTTTTTGTTTTGGAGTGCAGGCTTAACAAATGTATGCTAGCTACAGAAAAAAGTAATCTGGTACAGCTAGAGGTCAATTGTCATAAAATCTGGTTGAGATTGAGATGTAGGCATCAGATACTAAAAATTAAAGTAACAGTGGAACCAGTATTCTTGTCGTAAGTTGGGCGGGCACCCTTAACCGAGACATTCATATCTTTAGTAAAATAAGACATATGATAATATCATGCATGGCTAGTTTAAAGTCGTTTACGTAGAGGCAGAAGCTGGCATAACATACGTGTATGATACCGGTATCACTGAATAGACAGCAGTAAATTACCTATCTCAGTTTTAATTCTTTATAAATGCTTAGTAAACCGTAGGGTAACAATAGTTTGACAATTTTGAGCAATCCGTAACGTGGTTGTCTTAACGACAAGCTTGATGTGTTGAATCAGTTAAGTAGTGTGCTTATTATGTGAGGCTGACTCATATGCACCTCTGACTGTTGCAGACCTATTGTCAGTTCAGTATGTATGTGAAATCTTAAGTGTGAGGTGTAGCTTGCAACGCCTTCTTTGTCTAGGACATTAGTGGAACTCTGTCACAGTGTCCGGAGGCGGGGAGGGCGGGGTATTAAACATATGTGTCATGGCTGCCTTGTTATACCATCATGTGTGACAAGTGTAACATAGTGTAAAATAAATGTCACATTATCGGAGGAGTCAAACAGAGTGGAGAACAAAACATTTGAAAATTAAACATATCCCTGCAAGGTAGGGCTGAGTGTAGGACTGTCCTCAGGATGTAGTTGCTACATATGAGTCCGGCAGGGCACCCCGTGGGATGAATGGGGTGATCTTTGCTGGATTCCAAGCGTGTGGGGGACCAGGATCGGTGGTGGGTCCTTTATTGCTCAGACTGTCTTGGGGGAGGCCCAGGGCTTGTAATAGTGGTGTTGCTTCGTGGATGTCTTGGAGCAGATGCGTGGAATCTCCGTGTGTTACCATGAGTGTGCGAGACATACGCCAACGGTAGCGTATATTCTTTTGCTGGAGGAGGGCGGTGAGAGGCCTGAGGGACCTCCGCCAAGCCAGGGTGCTGTTTGAAAGGTCCTGGTAGAAGGCCAGCGACATGCCTTCCATTTGGTATGAGGACGTTCCTTTGAGGGCCGTAAGAACTGCTGCTTTGTCCATTCCCGATTTGAATTGGACCACCAGGTCCCGTTGGAATGTTGCTGGAGCCTTGGCCGGTTTAGGGGTTCGGAATAGGCCGTCCAGTTGTATAGCTTTAGCCTGCCATGGGGGAAGTAGTGCGGCTATAAGTCTCCGCATTAGATGTGTTAACTCAGCATCAGGTATGTCCTCCGGGATACCTCTAACTTTCAGGTTATTCCGGCGTCGGGCGTCTTCTTGTGCCGCAAAGCGGCGGTCATACAGTTGGTTCTGTTTTTGCAAGTCTCTGACCTCTTGTTGTAGTGTTTCCATGCTTTGTGAGCTTGTGCGCGAGGCTTCCTCCAGCACTCCGATGCGGCCCGTCAGGCCCTACAGGCCACTGCGGATCGTGGCTATGTCTGCCTGCAGTGCGGTTTTCAGGTTGTCCAGCAGCTCCTTTAGGACGGCCGTGGTGACCGGAGCTGCATCCGGAGTAGTCAAGCCTGGTTTCGGTTTTGGGGTGGCAGGTAGGATGTCATCTTCCCCGTCCATGGATAGCTCATCAGAAAAATCCGAACAGCCCCCAGTGAGAGCGGCCATTTTAGGCCCGTACGCTCCCTGCGCCTGCTTCCATAGTTCTCCGATATCCATTCCCATGGTCGGTTTATCTGGTTTAGTTTTTTTTTATTTGCGCACCATGGTGCCTATACGGAGCGGTACTACTCTCCAGGGTCAGTTAGTGGTGGTTTTGATGGCTGAAATTAGGCTTTTTGTGGCATATAGCTTGGAGCTTCAGGGACATGCGACCGATTGCTTCAGCGGCTTAGCTCCGCCCCCAGTTTGGCTACTTTTAGATTCTCTTTCAATTCTCACTTTAGTTAATAGACCTCTAAGAGTCTCTGCTATTTTTTATGTTTTTTAGCAAACACAAAATGACTGTACATGGAGCCTAATGAGTACATTTAATTAGATAAATAAACAGGGTTATTCAGTTTATTTAAAACTAAGGCCAGAGTAGCCAAACTGAGAGCTGACTTGGAGAATGTTTCCAATTCAGCTATTTTCACCTTAAATTTTAAATTCTCTTTGAAATGTCACTTTAGTGAATAATCCTGCTAATGTTTATATTGAATTGACTGGAGACCCTCACTGTGGTGAATAGTCTTTTATTATGTGTTTTAGGACAGGTGCTGTTATACAGTAAGCCAGGGGCCTATATTTGGCAGCCAGCTGTCTATAGAGCAGGAGCCGCCTGGGCCTGGCGGCAGTTGTCACTGAGCAGCTGGCCGCACGCTCTCTTTCAAATGCCCGCGCTTTCCAGGCGCGGCATCCGTTGCCTGGCAACAAGTCAAGCCGACTCACGCCTCCCTCCTCCTCCGGCGGTGACGTAGAGGCAGCGGTTGGGACAGTCGCGTGGCTACAGCTTGTTTAGCTTTTAGCGGCCAATCACAGAGCGCGGACCTATGGGGAGACAGCCAATCGGCTAGCGGGAAGCCGAGCGCACGCAGCCAATCAGGTGACAGAGTGGTTGGGAAGCTCGGAGTTTGAAACGCACGGTCTGCAGGCGCCGTGAGGTGACAGTTTGCGGCCCGGTGTCCGCCGTGAGGTGACAGTTTGCGGCCCGGTGTCCGCTGTCAGACCGGTTATCGGAGGCCGAGATGCCGTCCCGCGTGGAGGATTACGAGGTGCTATTCACCATCGGCTCGGGATCCTATGGGAAATGCCAGAAGATCCGCCGGAGGTCGGACGGGAAGGTGAGCGGGGCTTGATTACCGCTGGCGATGTCTGCTGACAGTACATATCGCCAGACGGCGGCGCTGAGAGTGCGGCTAACCCCAGGGCAAGGCTGCTCAGAAGGTAAATGGCTAGAACTACAACTACCGTGATGCTTTGCCAGGTGTAAGGTTGTGATAGCATCATGGGAGATGTAGTTCTGTGCCAGCTTTGCCTCTGCTTCCTGGACACTGTAAACAGCAGGGGGACAAAGGTAGACTCAATGCTGTGGCAGTGGTACGTGTCCCTTAATGCTTTGTGAGCAGCTAGAGCATCATGGGAGTTGTAGTCCTACAACACGGTGGGTATTCCTTTTACCATGTCACCTTGGCTAAAGCTTATAGCCAGTACATTATGTGGGGATCTGAGACCTTCAGGTTATTACCCCATAGGAAATAAAGAAGTGTACACTGTGTTTTATATCTGAGACATTCAGGCCATTATCTCTCTGTGAAATAAAGTGTACACCAAGCATGTCAAACTCAAAGGGCCAAATAAACAAGGTTTACTTTTATGGAATGTAGGTTTATTTAGAAAAGTACAGTATAAAAAAAAACAAGTTGCCAAAAAATAGCTCATTTATTTTAAGGAGACGTGCATTTGCATATAACCAATGTTTCAGTTCAAATACCTCAACATATTAAGAAAAGTTTGGTAATGGGTCTGAAATGGTGAATGTATGCTGTTGCGCAGCTGTAAAAAAAAAAAAAAAATGACATTATCTTGTTGATTTTTGAAGTCCTCAGAGTGTGTTCTTCACTTTGGTTGAGGTCATTGGGAGGCTGTTGGCTAATCTGCATCTCCATGGGGAGCGTTCAGCGCCTCCATACAGATCTAATACACTGCTTTCTCCCACCCCTCCATTCTAATACATTGCCCCCAAATCCAGTATATTGCCTTCTGTGAAATAAAGTGAACACCCTGTTAATATATAGCTGAGGCCATCATGATATTACCCCCTGTAAAATAAAGTGTACACTATGTGGGTATCTGAGGTCTTCAATTTATTAATCCCTATAAATAAAGTGTACATTAAGTGGGTATTTGAGGCCTTCAGGCTATTTCCCCAGGGAAATAAAGTATACACCTTCTAGGTGTCTGAGGCATGCTGGTTCTTATTAACACCAAAATGAAATAACAAGCACTCTGAGAAAACCTGTACAATGTTTGGGTATTAACTAGCTTGATATTGTCCCTGTGAAGAAAGGCACTGGAATCCATTGAATATGTCATTCACATAATGCAACATTTGCCAGCATTTAGCATAGCAAGTTGACTGTTGTGCCCTGATTCACATCATGCTCGGCCACCTTTTTAACACCAAGGGTTTTATCTGCCAAACATGATAGTTGTAGAAAAGTGACATAAGAATATAAGAACTGCAAATGTTAGGTCCAAATAAGTTTGCATGTTCCTGCAATTCCCTTGCTAATATTCCTCTATTCCCAATGCTAAATAGACCAGCATCTCCTCCCTAGATTACAACAGCTAATGGCTGGCAGCGTACCATGAAGAAAAATACTGTACTCCTAACTCTTCCCATTTAGATCTTAACTCATGTCTTTGTTTTTGCGTTTCTCAACTTGTCTTTGTGATTTTGACAAGGTAAAACCTCATAGCAGATTCTGTATGAAATGCAGTACATGCTTTCTTTTCTTAAATTCTGTTATACATAATCCTAAGGCTTTGTCTTGTGCAATAATTTATGCCCTCTGAAGCCAGTAGTCAAGGCAGATCTTTCACAATTCTATTATAATGGGATACTGAAAAATGGAGATTGCTAGTGCCTTGTGGATGTGACTGCCACCACTGATTTAGACTAGTTTCTTTGCATGTGTTACTGGGTCAAAGAAGGAAGCTAAGAATGACATCTTCAATTTTTAGGTCCGTTGAAGTGTCTAAAATGGGCAATGAAATCTGGATTTCCTCATTTTTATTTATCCTCTTTCAGGTGCTGGTATGGAAGGAGCTGGACTATGGAACCATGACAGAGGCTGAAAAGCAAATGCTTGTCTCTGAAGTAAACCTTTTGAGGGAACTGAAGCACCCCAATATTGTCCGCTACTATGACCGCATAATTGATCGAACAAACACTACTCTTTATATTGTGATGGAGTATTGTGAGGGTGGGGACCTGGCTACCATTATTGCAAAATGTACAAAGGATAGGTATGCAGCAAATGAGCAGTACTTTTGTCTATAACGCTTGATGTTTTTGCTTTGTCCCTAAGTAAGGCAAAACTTGCTTTTTGAAAATGGATTTCCCTGTGTATGCATCGTGTGCCTAAAAATCTCTCTATATCCCACTAGCATGAAATGCCAATTTTGTTTCTTCTGCACACTCTTGTCATAGCAGTCCTAGATGTACAATTATTCCTGCTGCAGAGATACAATTGGCTTCCCTCTAGACACACAACACTGAGAGTGGGGATGCGTGTCTGGATTATTCTAGAGATAAGCTAGAATTCTGTTCGTGGTTGAGTATATATTTTTTTTTTTTAATTTGAATAATGGGTTATTTACTAAAGTTAGATTTGCTGGAAATGCAAAGTAAATTTCAAATGTAAGGCCAAAGTAGCCAAACTGAAAACAGAATGGACCTGGAGATTTTTTTCTAATTCAGACATGTTGGCCTAAATTTTGAATTTAACTCTGAATTCCCAGCAATTCTCACTTCAGTGAAAAACCCTGCTGATTTCTCCTAAGAGTATTTATTTAATTATTTATAAAATATTTACCAGGGAAGATACATTGAGATTTCTCTTGTTTTTAAGTATGTCCTGGGTCGACAAAATATTGCATTGATACAATAGGGTACATTAAAATACAAAAACAATATTAATACACAATACATACAAAATTTAACATAGAACAGGTAGGAAATATACATAATCAACCATGACAGGTGCATTCTGTTTTGAGTATGCATGGGTTGATTGCTTGCTGATGTGCTTAGAGGAATATTGACTGTACCTCACAGACCAGACCTATATGAGGGTCACTGTGCTTTGTGTAAAGGTAATTTTGCATCTGATTTGTTAATCTATAAGATCCTGATCTGCCATTGCACATGAAGATCAGTGAGCAAAGCTAGCATGTTTAGAGCATACAGAGTCCTCTGTAATTTATGAGATCACCTTAAGGGGCTGTGACTTGTTCAAGTCACTGCTGCTATAAGTCAACCCACCAGGACAGCATTTAGGCAGCCAATAATAATTACTTCTAGACTACATTACTTTCATATACATTTTTACCATATAATGTGTGCACAGCAGTGAAGACTCTCCCTGGCTTTATTTATTTTTTTAAATTATATTTTAAAGGAACACTACAACTTTAGGAATACATTTATTTGTAATTTCAAAATGTTCCTCTTTGTTATAGATTCAGGATGCATGGCAGTTGCAGGGTTGCACCAGCAGTGCTTCTTCTAGAGAAGTATTGAAACCAGTGCTTCTTTGAGAAGCCCTCACATCAATGATGAAACCTCCCAACTGTCTCCTTGACAGCTAGGGTTTTTACCCAAAGGGGTTTATATACTTTAGGATTTCTCTTGAATCTGCTCTTTTATAAAATAAGCAAACATGCCCGTAACCCCTCCTGCACTTCAGCCAGCTGCTCTTAAGAAATAGACTTTTATTTTTTTGTCCTTTTTTTTGCATTTCCCATGACTTTACCCTTAAGCAACTGCCAGTAGGAGATTTGGACTAGACGATAAGGTAATTGCTTGCTGACACAGGGCTTAAAACAGATTCAAAGTCTTCTGACTTTGGAAGTGCATCCAGTATTTCTGTATGAGAGCAAACCACGAAGTGGAACAATTTTGTTGCTCTTATCACTCCCTATTTTGGTGATGACACACCTTCCTCCATAATTTCTTAAACTGAAGCTAGTTGTGGGCTGCACAGCTCTTAGCAGGAGGGTGTCATCAGAACAAGAAGCATGAAACTCCTGCTAATGTGGGATCATATTTGAATGTGTTGATGTATGCAAAGATGGACACTGCAAATTTGTAGAGCGACATTGTTTTTTGTAGCAAAACTTGAGACATTTGATTTAAGAAAAAATGTCAAACATACTGTTACCTTGTGTATGAGTTAATCGAATGTTCTACATGCATGGCTACATCATAAAAGGTGTGAAATACGATTAATTTATTCAGTTGTTTTTTGTTTGTTTTTTAGGCAATATTTAGAGGAAGATTTTATTCTTCGTGTGTTTGCTCAGCTTGCTTTAGCCCTGAAGGATTGTCACAGAAGAACTGATGGAGGTCACATCGTTCTACACCGCGATCTCAAACCTGCCAACATATTTCTTGATGCCAAAAAGAATGTGAAAGTTGGAGATTTTGGCTTGGCCAGAATATTAAATCATGACACCAGCTTTGCAAAAACATTTGTAGGAACTCCTTATTACATGTCCCCTGTAAGTACTCCATGGCTAAGTTCTCTTTAGTCTGACCTGTATATTTGAAAAAGTGCTAAGTCAACCTTTCAAATTTAATGTATACCTGGCTGTATCAAAAAATCCTCGAATGTATGGGAGTATTCAACCTGCTTAGCTTCCTTAGTAGTGCTGTGCATGAACACTCCTCCATGCATGTGGCTCAATCAAAGTGTGCGGCCACACATATTGCTTTAAACCGCAAGGATTTTGGGATTTGCATGAAACATACACCTGTCATTCATACAGCTATAGTTCAAAACCTTTTGTACAACTGAGCTTCTGGTGCATTGGGGAAATTAAAAGGCCCTATTAAAGGGACTGGAACCCCACCCCACAAAACATGATTTTGGTTCATACCCATTGGGTATTATATATACCCAATGGGTATGAACCAAAATCATGTTTTGATTTTTATATATAATTGATTGGAACTCATTATACGTTTCCTGAAACCCTGCCATAGAAGTTTACCCTGTCTTTTTGATCTTCCCGGCCAAGTTTATGCTCCTGTTTGTGTTGCTAATTTGGATACTTTATTTCTTTAATCATCATTATTATGCTGTCAGCATATTGGTAAAGGCAACAAGTATGTAGCTGTAGATAAAGTGCTTCCAGGTAAGGCAGTCATCCAAAAACCTGTCACCTGGGGATGATGCAGCTGGGTGTACTACTACACTTTCCAGAACTCTAAGTTGCTGAGGGGACCGATTTCTGGATAAGTATCTTTATCTGTTCATGCAATTGGTTGGAACTTCTCAAAGGTCCAATGTATAGATTAAATCTTTGATCCTTGTAAACGTGTAATCCATAGTTTTTATGACAAATTAAGCCTTTTCTTGTCAATCATTTCCCGTTGTCTAGGATTCTGTGTCATGTGTGAACATCACTGCACTTAAAGGACCACTATAGGCACCCAGACCACTTCAGCTTAATGAAGTGGTATGGTTGCCAGGTCCAGCTAGAATTTACCCTTTCTGTTGTAAACATAGCAGTTTTAGAGAAACTGCTATGTTTACAAATGGGTTAATCCAGCCTCTAGTGGCTGCCTCATTGACAGCCGTTAGAGGCGCTTCTCACTGTGATTTTTCACAGTGAGAAGACGCCAGCGTCCATAGGAAAGCATTGAGAATGCTTTCCTATGAGACTGGCTGAATGCGTGTGCGCATTCAGCCGATGACGGGAAAGAAGGAGGAGAGTCCCCAGCGCCGAGGGAGCCCGGCGCTTGAAAAAAGGTAAGGGATTAACCCCTTCCTCCCCCCAGAGCCCGGCGGTAGGGGGACCCTGAGGGTGGGGGCACCCTCAGGGCACTAGAGTGCCAGGAATAACAAGTAAAACAAGTTTTCCTGGCACTATAGTGGTCCTTTAAGCAGGATTGTTCCTATTGTACTTTACACACATTATGTAAATTGGCACTCCTAGAACTGTCTGATGTTGTCTTTCACTCCAATCTTGCAGGAGCAGATGAATAGAATGTCCTATAATGAAAAGTCTGATATCTGGTCGTTGGGATGTCTTCTGTATGAGCTGTGTGCTCTCTCGTAAGTAAGATCTAGGACTTATACCTAAAGATGGGATCGGACACAAGTATGGATTGTAACTGTAGTTTTTGTTTTCATGTTGAGGCCGCCATTTACAGCTTACAATCAGAGGGATCTGGCAGAAAAGATACGAGAAGGGAAATTTCGACGGATTCCTTATCGCTATTCAGAAGAACTGAATAAATTAATTACAAAAATGTTAAATCTTAAGGTAGGACCCATCCCTGCTTTTATTGCCTTATGTCTTGAAAACTTTCCTTTCCCACATGATAGTGTGTGTGTATATCATTTCTTAAACAGTTGGGTTAGATCCTTTGTTGTTACCTAGAGAATAATCCTAAATTCAGGTGTTTCTGTATTTTCCCCAAGAAAAAATACAGACAGGGTTATTTACAAAAGTGAGAACTGTCATGAATTTCAAATTTAAAGTAGCTGAACTGGAAAAACTCTCCCTTTAGTGAATCAACTTAATAACCTAATATATAAATCTATCTTTGTCACAATTTCCAGTAGCCATTGGCAAATGAGAATTTGGCCCTGGTGAGCATACCATAGCTTGCAAAGGCAAGTAACTTTTAAAGCTTGCATTGTAGCCTAGGACTTTAAATTATAAGCCCTCAGAGAGAAATATTAATTAAAGAATAAATTAATGGAGTTAATTAACAGTTAATGGAGAACCGCATGATTTTTGTTATTTTTTTCCATCTTAGGACTTCCTGAGACCTTCAATAGAAGACATTTTGCAGCATTCTCTATTAACGGAGTGGGTAACAGAAGAACAGAATAAAATATCTGATAAAGGAGCCCGGAGATCTGCAGAAGCAGAGCGCTCTGTTCATCCAGACCCTGTCCACTCAGAACTTCGATTAAAAGAGCAGCAATTGCAAGCAAGAGAAAAGGCGTTGAAAGAGCGGGAAGAACTTCTAGAGCGTGAGTTAGGACCATTAGTACTTTAAAGAATATAGGCAGGGCTAATCTTTCCACAACTGACGATTCATTGTGACTTTCTTTCCCCTAGAGAGGGAGCGAGAGCTGTGTGTGCGTGAAAGACTTGCGGAGGACAAGCTGGCAAGGTAATGTTCGTTTATTGTTTCCAACCTACATTACATTAAAGGTGGGGGGAATAATGTCTTTGAAATGGGTTTCCTGAACAAATATCCAATTCAAGTGCCTGTGAGGAAAGTTCTAATCTTTATAACAAGCCTTTTATAGGTGCAATGCTAGCCAATGAGACTGCTACACCCTGACACAAAGATTTCCAACTATTCATTCAATTCTAATAACTACTGAGATTTCTCTGTGTTTTTGTGTATGGCAGTATAGAACCTGGATTTAAAATTTTCACTTGCACACTAACAAATGACAAGTGGAAATTCAGTCCTGGTTTGTGTGCAATGGATGCTCCCCTCACTGCCTCTGAGGATGCCTGCAATGAACAGTTTAAAGCTCTGTAAACATTTGCCATTATTCCTTACGAGCTGTGCAGAGTGTATGTCAAATTGCTGATACAGCCCATATCCTTTAGTCTGGACGACGGTTACAAGAAGGAGCAGTACAAGAACATGTCTCTATTCTTCCCCTCATCATGTAGATGAGGAGCTGACAATGGATTGGTCCCCCTACCTTTGCTTTGATGTTTAAGTTATGTCCTCTTGTCCGTTTTTCTTTTAGGGCAGAAAACCTGATGAAGAATTTCAATGTGATGAAAGAGCAGTGGTATCCACCTGCTTTTGACAGTGGCATAGGTATGAGACCCAGAAGGAAGCCCCTGGAGCCGTTAAATGACTGGAATAATTATTAGTGTTATTCTCAAAGAACATTATTTATAGTCTTTAAAACTTGATATTTTAAATATTGCACTTTTACTTTTTCTGTTTTTAAATAAAGTTTATTTAATTTTTTATCTCACGGCTAGTTAATAAAAAGTATACATCTAGATGTAGGCTCCCCTTCTTCCATATTTTATTTTGAAGTTGTTTTGTTTGAGATGAAATTCTTTTTTTATTATTATTATTATTATTATTATTATTATTATTATTATTATTATTATTACGACTTTCCTGGCAGTTCAGATAGTTTAAGTGGACACCAGTGTTTCTACACTGACCTACTGTATCAATCAGGTTACACAGGAGGGGCACCTAATTATTTTCTTAATTAAGCCAGCAGCTAATTGCCATGATTTTAAATAGTCCCTACAGGCAGAGAACACTGACTATTTAGCAGTTCATATCATAATAAAGCAAAACATATAAGGCTTAAAAGAATGGCACGCCTAATCGGCTGCACAAATGGTGCAGATCTGCTTTGTGGGAGCATGTTACAAAATGGAAAGTAAGACTTTACATGAAGACTTTTGCCAACATACCGGATTTGGAAATATTTTCACATACTGTTATACCCATGTTTTGCTTTTAATTTCTTACAGTTTTTGGTTTAGAAACCAAGCTTGACCATACTCTAACTTATTAATAATAAAAAAAAAGGGCCCTGTCTCTTTTTTACCAGTATAGAGGCAAGTCATGGTGAGCCCTGCCTCTCACCCCATGTTACATGCTTTGTATTCTACAATGCAGGTTGTACATGTTACTGGCAGATCTCCCTTATCAGTTACTTGAAGCTGTGTTTGTAGTCTTTCTTTGAACACAGAGTTTGGTGCTGGAAGTGTAACAATAGGTATACTGTGTGTAAGTTTAAATCTGTACACCTGCAAGCTAATGTATCCCACTGATCAGTTTTAACATGGTTACAAACCTTTTTATTTATTTGCTGGGGCAGAGCTACATTTATGCAGCTTTTCCATGTTAAAGATCACGTATGCACATTGATTTGCTAAATTGAGGAGTTTTGTAGCTGTTAGTACAAGTTAGAGAAAATATTCTAAGCGGGTTGGTTATCATCTCCAGCTTTATATAAAAGCTGTTTTTAAATACATTGTCTTCTGTAAAAAAACAAAACACTACTGTATTAGAAGATATACTGTCCCTTTCTTCAATAACACTGAAGAGTCAGTGGAAGAGTTGTTAAAACTCTCATACCCTTCTCCTATGTTGCAGATGGATATCTGGATTCCTCTTCAACTCGCAGTAAGAAGGTTCACTTTGGCACCCAAAGTAAAGAAAATCGCAACATGGACAAATACGGTTTACCACAAGAGAAATGTACAGAACTGAAGAAAAGACTGCAGGCAGCCAACATGCGTGCAAAAGCTTTGAGTGAAATGGAGAAAAATTATCAGCTGAAAAGCCGACAGATATTAGGAATGCGCTAAACGTTCGAGAAACAAATGATTGTACATAATATTTAAAGCTACAAACTTTTTTTTGGTGTGTAGGCCAGTACATGAATCCTGACTAAATAATATGGAACAAAATACATTGTTGGAATGTAAACAAACGTGTAGAACAAATATTTTTGCAGCTATAATCTGTGAACCAGGCTCTTTAAACTATAGCGTTGCTTTTTCTAACAGCAGTCTGTTATTCCCATGCCACACCCTCTAATTGACTCATTTAGTGAAATGTTCTAAGCACATGGTGCGGAATCCAAGATTAGACTTACATTTCCTTTATGCTCCGAAGGACAGTGGTGACCAACCACAAACTGCACGGCAGGCACTGGTACTGCCTAACGCTGTCCTCTGCATGGTACACACTGACTATACATGGCTCCAGATGGCAAAATATAACTTGCAGTTGACTGGAATGTGGTAGACCCGTAAGATTGCTGTACATCTTTCTGATGCCAAGGAATAAGCACTGGGCTAATGGTACTATAATGTACAGACACACAGAAAATCAGCTTACAGTGCAGCCTGCATTGCCTAATGTTCCAGCCACATAAACGTATATTATCTTCCCCTCCCTCCCCCCATTTTTCATTCCCTTCACAAGATGTCTTGTGACCTCTGGCAGCTCTTCAGTCTCTGTTCATTTTTTTTTTTTTTATATATATATATGTTTATATTGAGTGCTTTTTGTTTCCTTTCTGTGACATGATACAAGACTTAGTACAGAGTAATTTTATAATTTAAAATGTAATATATACACACCTTAAGTAGGGTAATGCCAGTAGCTCATTTGATCTGTCATTAAACTACCTTTGTTTTAAATGTTAAAAGCAGATCTGTTGTTTTTAACTTTTACTAACAGCAATTGAAACTGCTAGCAGTTAATGAGACCTAAAACACCTCCATCCTATCTTTTTAAATATCGCAGGTCATATTCGTTCTGAATAGATGCAACTGTAAAGATCCCAGTGGATGTGTAATGTGTCATGTTTCATTCAATGACCATTGGCAGCCCTGCAGATTTGCTCTGGTGATACAGGGGCCTATTCTACACCTGCAAAAACTTTACCCTGGTCACTCTGAGGTTGATAATACCTTTTTGCTAATTTTTGAACTTTCAGTCCTTCTTGATTAAAGTTGCCCTACATTTGTGTGTAAGGCTGCACAATCGATTTAAAGGATATGGGGGAAAAAACAACTCCTGATTGGTAGACTGTCCTTTTGGTGTGGAAGGGGTCTGCTTCTTCTCTCATTATTTTATGTCCTGGTATCATTGATGATGTAGATTAATTTAGAAATAAACAAAAATGTTTAAAAGTCTATCTGTTCCTGTCCAAATCTGAGATGAATAAATTGCGTATACGCAGAAGTAAGTTCACACTGACACATGCAGTTCAGGTTAAAAACACTTCAGGAAATTTATTAGCATCTAGTTAAAAAGTGGGCACGCAGGCCTTTTTATATGCAAAATGACATCATCATTGAATATCAGATAATAACAAATAAACATCATTAATTGGGTTAAATGTTAAGTGGCTATGTCAGTGTCCACCCATTAATATTATTAATTGGCTCAGAGATTTGAGTGACTAGTGAGGCACCCTCCCATCATGGGATGTCGTCGCCATTGCTCTTTAGCACGAGGCTTACTCGGTGGAAAGGGGGGCTTGGGCGTCATTTTACGTAGTTAGTGATGTCAGTCTAGTGGTCTGTTCCAAGGTTCTTTTATGAATAGAACATTTCATTTTGTCACTGTTCTCCTGGCCTTGGATTATACTATGTTGCAAGTCAACGGAGATCCGCTAACTCCGGGGCTAGTTATGTCCTTAGAGAGAGAAATACAATCTCTTATTCATTATACTGAATACTGTCAGGAAATTCTGTCATGTAAGGTGAACAAAATGGAGTTAGTACAATAATTCAATACAGGTTCTAATAAAGATTTTAATAATTCTACATCAGTCCCCCCTATGAAATGTTAGATTCTAAAAGATAATCTTTATTTGTTAGTATCAGAAGACGTGTTAGCCCAAAGGCACAGAAACCCCGTGACCCGCTAGCTAGGTGTTATTGCAAAGTGCAAAGCTGTCCCTTCGTCTGTCCCTAATTGGCTAACTCATCTGTCCGCTGGGCACTCGAACACTTCACTCCATGGGTATCCCGAGGTGGCTAACCCACCACATCTCCGCACGGTAGACTTCCCAGACAGACAGATGCTGTCCCTAAGCTGGTCCCTTCCTAGAACTCTTGCACTTTATCAATAAACGGGATAGATTGTAGCGGTATACAGGGCGAGTTGACTTTTTGGAAATCTTGGTCATCAACTGTGAGGTGTGCGTAAGTGGGTGCCGCTTGGTCTACAGTCTTCAAGAGGAGCTTTCTCAGACAAGGGAGGACACAACAAACGAGAAGAGCAAAGATAAAAAGGAAAATTAGTATTGCTATACCAATATGCATCAAAGCTTTTTGCCATCCTGTCATCCAACCAAACCATCTCTCCCAGGGATCTTTTATCCCAGAGTTCCTCTTTAGCTCCTCAGAGAGCTCTTTCAATTTTCCTATAGCTAAGGTTACTTTACCATTGGGGCCTGTGTTTTCTGGGATGTAAGTACAACATGTCATGGTGTCGGGCAGAATTTTACATACCCCTCCTTTTTCTGCTAGAATCATATCTAAAGCCATTCTATTTTGGAATGACATTTGGGACGTAGCCTGCAACTGTTCGGCCAAACCCTGAAGGGCATCCCTGGTGTAATTAACAAACCGTTGTTGGTTGTAGTAGATGTAATTTATCCAATTTAAATTCTTGTTTGCAGTGACTATGGTAAAAAGTGATTCAAATCCTGCAGCAACTTCATCCCTGGCTTTAAACTCATTGGGCACCCCCCTAGGTACCCCAATGGCATCAATGTAAATATGAGGGTCAAAACTGCCTTTTACTGGGGCTTCACGCTTTACCTTGGTTGGTGAGTGTTTGGACTCATGAGTATCGGGGTGTGTGTCAGAGATAATATGTATGGGCATGATTGCTTTAGCCAGAGTACACTCCCCCCACCATTCTTTATCCATTCTTGATCTCAGCTGTAGATCCCCACACAACCAGTAAATATCCCCCAATGATCTAGTGTGGAATTGTAGGAGGTTCATAGAGACAGTTCTGTAGGTGGCACAATAACCTTTAGAGAAGTTACCCACAAATTTACCAATTCCATCATAATTAGCATAACAGGTATAATTACCTTTATAGACGGTAACACCATCTGGGGGTTTGCAATCTTTGACTAGAAGAGGATACTCTACTGTCCATGCTTTACATATGGACCTATTGAAATTGTAGTGATAGGCAAAAAGACTCAGAACACATTCTTCTATATCTACTGGCAAAGTTGAAGGCACAGTGCCCAGGTGCGGCCGGGCACCACCACACACATAGCATGCGGTTCTGTTATGTTTGTTGGCATTATATTTCATCCATTCTAACCATAGATTAACATCATTGAAACCTGTTTCAGCGGCCATGGTATCTTCAAATGTTGGATTTGCAATGGCCATCATGTCTTTAAAAGATTGGATGTGTGGTTTCAACGGATTTGAGACCATGTGGGTGGTCCCTTTCCACTCAGGAGAGTGGCACATATCTTTAAGGTGGAAATGTCCTAATTTATTATAGGAACCCTTCTTCCAGTACATTCCCATTACATACTGGTCTGCATCCGTTGGGCTGGGATGCTCAATGTTTAAGATTAATTTCATAGGTATGCCTCCTCCGGGCTTTCTCAGAGTCATTCTCTGGAGGAGGGACCTATCGTGATCATCAATTTTAGATAAGACACTTTTTGGTTTGTAACCCCAGGCAGGCCCGGCATTCCATCCCGCCGCCCCCAATGGTTACAGTTGTGCCCCCATTGTTTGTCAATTACACAAACATAGGGGTCTTTTGAATGAGGGATATCTCTATAGATATTCTGAATCTGTGACGTGGGGAATGGGCATTCTACGATGTCACAGTAGTCAAAAGTATAAGTAGCCACAGGGGTACATGATGAATTATACCAGAAGGTGTACCCACTAGCATCTTTGGTGATGGCCACCTGCTGGGCTTTAAGGAGGCCAACTAAGGAGATAATGTACCAGAGGCACATGGTTGCATAGAGTTAGCTTCCTCTGGGGCAGGTGTCTTCTTGCAATGGGAAGCGTGGATCCAGTTAGGCCTTCCGGCCAATTTGACAGAGGTAGGGGAGATCAGGAGAACTTGGAACGGTCCGTCAAATCTTGGTTCCAGGGTGTGTTTCCGCACAAATTTCTTGACCAGAACCCAGTCACCGGGGAGCAGACTGTGGTTGCCTGTGTCAGAATCAGGATCTGGAATTGAAGAGAAAACTTGGGCATGGATTTTGTTTAAAGCATTTGCGAGTTCAGTTACATAATCTACTAAGACATCAGTTTGAAGTTGTAGTTGTTGGGGAAAATAGCAACCTAGCCTAGGTGCAGTCCCAAATAGAATCTCATATAGGGACAATGAGGTAGTATTTTTGTACAAGAGCATTCATTAGATCCTTTGATAAATGTGCAGGTCCGTGTGCCCATTGTACGACTGCTGGGTACAAATTCTTAGGGAGGCAGAACTTGAGGTTGTTGGAGTACACTCCATCCTTCAGAACTGCCCCTTTCTGTTTCCACTTCTGTATTTCTTCAGGGGCAACTGTAGCCTGTTGTTCCCGCAGGATTTTTAGGTCAGTTGGAAGAGTCTGCAGAGTAAATATGGGAGTTTCTTCATTTCCGGACACTCTTCTTTCCACTTCCTGTGGTTCTTTTGCAGCCTGATCAGCTAGATGGTTGCCCCTTGCTTCATCTGAGTCCAACTTCCCATGTGCTTTTATCTTCAAAATAGCCACTTCTTCTGGGAGTAGGAGGGCGTCCATCAGCTCCTTGATCGCGGAACCGTGCTTGATTGGTGTACCGGTGGTGGTAAGAAATCCTCTTGTTTTCCAAATTAATCCGAAGTCGTGAGCCACGCCCAGTGCATATCTTGAATCCGTGTAGATATTGGCGCGCTTTCCTTCAGAGATCTTGCATGCTGAAGTCAGGGCTTGCAATTCAGCTTCTTGTGCAGACATAGTTGATGGTAAAGATGATGATTTGACAATTTCATCTGTTGTGGTTACGGCATATCCTGTATGGTATCTTCCTTCTTCATCAGCATATCTTGAGCCGTCCACAAACAGGGTGAGATCGGGATCTACCAATGGGTCTTCATGCACAGTTGGTAGATGTGTTGTTTCCATTTTCATCTGTTCAAAACAGTCATGAGGTGTATCTGGGTCGTAGTCATTCACTATGGTTAAATCTTGGAACTCATTTTCCAGGAAATGACGTGGCCATGCTTTTAGGTGGTCAGTTGTTGGATATTTGACAACACCATTTTCCTGTAGCTGTGATTCGTCCATAGTGGCCCATGCTTTTGCCATAGGCCCAAGATCATTCCATGATATTGTTTTCAACTTGGTCACAGGGACATGTGGAATGGCAGTGTCCCAATGACGGTACAAATACTTGAGTTCCGGAGGTAGATGAATCAAGACCATACTGTTGCCTTCAGAATCACAGTAGAAGTCTTGTGCAGTGAGTTTTACTTCGACCAGATGATAGAGTTCATCTTCATAGCAGGATTCAGGAGTGATGTTTGATTTGTACCACATGGTACAGAAGGCATATCCTGCTCCGTCATGAAGGAGTGCTTGTCCATCATGAAAGGATAGGTTGGGATGCATTTCCTTCTTGATAGTGCCAGTGAGAAGAAAAACATAAGTTTCATCCATGATGAATCCGTAGTATACACCCCCCTCAGGGAGTGGCAGAAGAGTGGACGGATTGAGAACTTGACATCTTTGGAGGGTAATGTCGTCAGGCAACAAAAGATGACATTGAAGGCGAAGATGCCTAGCAGGAGTAACATGCTTAA